GCTTACCCTGGCGAGCCGCGTGCCGAACGTTGCTGACCCCTGGACTAAATGTTTCATGTCACTCCTGTAAGAGGATTGGACCCTGAGGGTCTGGTTCCTGTGCTAGGGAAAATAGCAGCTCTGTAGAGCCTGTCTCCCTTTTTCTGCTGCTACACACAATGTGGGTAACCTGTGCAACAGCATAAGGGGGCACCTTGAACCCCCTTCCACTTCTGGGCGGCCACTCAAGCAGGGCACAATTTAGCCAATTGATAATACAGTAGCAGTAATACTAAGTATTACAGTACAACTACATCCAGAAAAATAAGGCCATGCTACTATCTTGCTTCATGAACCAGGATTATACCATTCTCTTGGCTTCTCAACTATCTCAGAATCCAGTGTAAAGTTGTATTCTGGTTTTATGAAATCTTCAAGGAGTTGCTACATTCTGCTTCTCTGGCCTTATCTCCATCTTCTTCCCCTAATACTCATTCCACTCCTCCAGTCTGGGCCTCCTCTCTGCTCCTTTTCTTCCGTTCTATGCAGAGTGTGCAAGTGTATGAGCTTGTCAACACAGTGGAGTAATGCACCTTAGGGTGTGTGATTTCTAAAGCGCATTATGTGTTGAACGGCGTAGACCCTGCTGGTCTCTAACAGTACTATATTAAAGCACACTATGGTACTTTTAGTGCACTCCAGCAGTTTCTATATGGACTAACTAATGAGCAACACATTAGTTTGTTTTAGAAATCCCTCCTCCCCCAGCCCAGTGTACACTGCTGTTCTGTGTAGACAAGCCCTCTGCCTCACTTTCACTTTTGCTCCCTTGCCTTCTTTCCCTCAAGCACAGTGAATAGAAATCAGCTCTCAGCTACATCATGTACATTCAGAACAATTCCATTGACTTCAGTGATAAGTATTGTTTTATCTACTAATGTAAATGCTTAAAAATTGTCACCTGTTAACATCTTTGTTGTTGGCAATTATGTAGATGCATTCTCTTTTTGAAAAGGTCTTCTCTATCCAAGCCTTTTGACCCTGAAATAGAAAAAGGGAAATAAAATATTGATATATTTGCTGAGTGGCCGATACCATAAAATGTCTACCTCTTAGTTTCCTTCCTGAAATATAGCTTTGATTGTCAAATGAGATATTTACAATGCACGTTTCAGGAGGCTAGACTCCTTAAATTCTAATAGGGTACTCTCATCTACTGGGGAAAGCATGAACTCCTCCACCAAGGCATCGTGGGAGCAGGGAAGGAGGACACTAATTATGAAGACAAATTGGAATTGTGTGGGACCATTTTCCCTTCAAATGCAAACCAGAACTCATCATATCAAGCTCACAATGTTTTTCAAACAGGAATTGTAGATGAGCTAAAACAATGCCCCAGTTCTGTGCAATGCAATTAGAAAGTCCATTGCAGCAACGTAGTTCAATTAGATTTCAAAACAATGAATGGAGAGTACAGCTCAGAAATAGCTGTATACCAAGGTTTCCCAAACTCTGCGCTTGCGATCCCCATTCTCAGAACCTGTAACCTTGACCCTGAGCAGGCAAAACTTTGTCACCATTCTAACACCAAAACGAACTAAGTATGAAGATTTGAAAAGGATACTTTGATTTTAAAGAGGTACAAAATGGTAACCACAGTCACAATTCAAAGATATGTATAAACCTGTCTTCTGGATGAAATTCATATTCTGTCCCTGGAGAGAAGAGTTCACTTCACTAAAGTCCCCAAAGAAGCAAAAGCATGTCACCAGTGAATAATTACTTAAATAACCAGCAAGGAGAGAAAGTTGGTCATTTAGGAAAGCCTGTACTCTGGCTCTTATTTCAAACAGTCAAGCTATCAATGTAACAGGTAAGAGTTACCTCCCTTCATTTTGATAGGAGTTGCTGGTGAATGGAACCCGTGCCATCATAGAGCATTGCAAAAGTCAATAATTCATTAGACAGCACTTAATGAAATTCACTACAGCTTTATGAACCACATGGAACAGGTTAATTATCAGGCATTTTCTTAGCATCGGGAATTTGATGGCATCTGAAACAGTGCAGCCCTCAGGGATTAGATACAATGCTGTGGATCAGTATGGCCTGGACTTATTTCCTTCCACATCCGTGTAAATTGCAATACGCTGCTTGCAATGAAAATGGAAATATTTGTTTTCCAAACATTTTAAATGAACATTCTCCTTGTATGTGTTTGGCACAGCTTTAGAAGACAGCAAGTCTTTTGCAATAGTACCAGCAGAAATATAGCTCAAATATGCTGGCAGGTTTGCAGCAGCAAAGACATTGGATATTCATGAAGCTGAATTGCTGAGTAATCACTTTTCCTGAGGTTTGAAATCAGTTCACTCTCTGATTCCTTGAGCCATGTGGTTAATATGGCATAAAACAGTGCTATCTGAGAAAATATATCTGCTTCAGCCTCTGTGACTTCTGAACCCATGTATATTGTGAAGGAAAGCCTAAGATTTTCTGTAATGTTAAATGACTTTTGCAGTTGCATGATTGTACAAATATCAAATAAGATGTTTGAAGGGCACTCCTACTGACAATGCCAGTCTGAATAATCAAGTCTTGTTGCATTTTCCAGGCTTCAGGCTTTCTTTCCCCAAAAATTCACAATCCAATTCAATGTTCCCTTTTTAAATATTGCAATAACTTTGAAGACATCATGCTCTTGGCAGCAGCCAGCATTTTAGAACACATTACAACCGGTGGTTTCGAATCAACTGATGTAAAACCCATGTGTCATTCTATGCTGCATTTACTTTTACTTTTCTGAGCTGTCACTGTAATCTGTTGCTGCTACCTTCATTTTGAAACCATCAATCTTTCTGAATCAACCCTTGGCCAGAAGTGAGCTCCACAAACTGAATGATAGATGCAATGTGGTTACGTGAGGTTCAGCAGTGCTGTCATCCAGTTTTCCAGTTCGGTAGCACATTTTGCCATTGTCCATGTGCATGGGTAGCTGTGCTTTGTGGTACACATTAAATAACATTTTTAATTGGATTTTTTACCATTTTGTGTTAGGTAAATCCAGGCACACCCACATAACCATCCTCCCATAAGAGATTAATCATGTTTCACTAGCCGAGTCTCTAGCAGCCTGTTTCACATGCACACACGTGCTGTGCTAGTCTACAACAAACCCCTAGTTGGGGTACTCATATCAATGTAGAGGTTTTAAAGGGGTACAGAATTCCAGGCTTGTGTTTATCCATTTTTTTGCCATTTTAAATATACTGAATTTTGTGTGTGACCGTTCCTAACTCCCCTCCCCGGGTGCTCAGCTACTGTAGAAATGAGGGCCATGTAAGTGCCTGGATAGATAGGCATCCGAAGAAGTGGGCTGTAGTCCACGAAAGCTTATGCTCTAATAAATTTGTTAGTCTCTAAGGTGCCACAAGTCCTCCTGTTCTTCTTTTTGTGGATAGATAGATACATCCTCTCCATGAACCCCCCGAGAGATCTGTAACCGCCAGTTTTGGAAACCCTACTGTAAGCATTTCAGGGGAGATAAGTTCGGGATGTGTTGATAAGCGATACTGTGCATGTGACTCCTCCAGACAGAATACTGAAAAGACAACCTGACAATCATCAAAACAACTGGATTGTACACTGTCAATGCAGGTTGTTATTTCACCCTATTCTTTTTACTTTGCAAAGAGAGACAACTTTTCATTGCTACTTGATCTTCTTCATGGAGAAGTATTAAAGTTAGCTACAATTTGGAGCCAGAACCTGAAGTCTAAGGCTCTCTGTTCCTCATTTATGTTTGGAAGGAAAGCTTTTGCAGTTATGTTTCTAAAGTGAGCTTTAGAGTATATCTGAATTCCCAGCTGTGCATTCATTGTATTATAGTTATTTTTAATAAAGTCTGTTATCTGCCACTGCACTTAAAAAAGCATTGCACACCCACACCTCGAATCCACCACATACAAATAATACATGATGCACTGCTGGCTTATTTTTCAGTGCTAATGAGAGGAAGGGAAAAGCAGGCATTACAGATCAGTGGAATAAAAACTCACAAAGCACGTTTGGTCAGCCTTTGAAGTTTCACTGCCCTTGTCTGTTTAATCTTCTTACTCAGAGCTTGATTATAATCCAGTGCAAATACTTAAGCAGACACATCCACTGTCAGAAAATAGGCACCTTACCCACTTATGTGATATGGATTCTGCACAATTCTGAAAAGC